GAAAAGAAGGTTTGTGGGTCAGAAAAGAAGGGTTGTGGGTCAGAAAAAAAGGGGGGGTCAGAAAAAAAGGGTGCGCGGGTCAAAAAAAAGGGAGCCCAGCTTGAAGTTTTACCAGGATGGCTGGACAGACCAGGGCAACTTGGCATCGAGGAACGGGTCAACATCTGCTGTTCACCCAAGGACATGATATCAAACTAATGAGCAACACTGCATTCTGCAGGTGAACTTTGATGCAACAGGAAGTGCAAACAGCAAGTTCTGTCTCAGTCTCTGACCCTCATGAGAGTCTGCCACTCCATCTAACGAAGAAAGTCCCATGCTATTGACCCTTCAATTGAGTGGTGGACTCCTCTTCACTCTTGCCTGCTGCTGTAAGTTCCCGGTTCCCGCCAGCCTTCAAATCCACCACACAGGTATAGATGGCCTTCGAACGAGTGGGAATAAGCGAAGATGGCACAGCCGTAAGTGTTGAAGCTGGCATCAACGATGCATACCCAATCGGCTTGTCAAATGTCAAGGGTGCACCAAATTAGGATGTTTCTGATGCGGAGACATCGTGTTATTATGTGTTATTCTTCAATGTCATGAAGTGGCCCACTTAGATTGAGAGCATCGTATGTTTCAAAGTAGACTTGAAGACGTTCCTTTGTACAAACAATCAGACACTGCTACAACCACAACTGCTTTTTCTGCTTCTATAAAGGGATGAAGCTGCCCACCAACTAAACCGGGGAGCCTGGGCATAGCAGCTCCAAGGCATCAGCAGCGGCCGGGGCGACTGCTGCACAGGCCTGGCTTCATCAGAATATTGAACTAGCTTCACCTGATTGCATTATCAACTATCAATTGAACGAATTGAACGATGTTATACTAAACTATCTGCATCAACTCGTTCAGCTCATCGAGACTTGTGGACTGCCTTGGAGTTAAGCTTGTAGTTGGACCCTCGCAAAGTCTAGCAAACACTCACTGTACTATTAACATCTATATATATATATTATACTCTATATTACTCTCTTCATTTGTATTCATGAGTGATCAGTGATATGATCCTCTTAGACTTACCATTCTGATGCCCTCTCTAGGTTCTGACCGACCCCTTGCGGTGGTCCATCGTGTCGCTGCCGTGCCGATCGACCGGCCTCCCGTAGGGCCCGCATGGCTGAGTAGCCGGCGTAGCTGCCCACGGCCATGGCCACGGCCTCGGGCACGACACGACGAGTTCAGGGCGCTATTTACGACGAATGTGGTAGATGAAGATGGAGCGTCGCTCACCACAAGCCCTGGGCGCATTGAACACTAAGCAGTTTGCTTCACACAATGCTGCATTCTCCACTTTGACATTCAATGTCCGGGGATGTGACTGCTAATGAACCGGATCAAACACTTGAACCAACCCTCTGCAAATTTGACAGTTATGATTAATGTGTGTGTTTTAATGGTGTTCTGGCAATCGTTGTTGATTGGGATGGTGACATAGTCAAGCTGACTGCAAATATAGTGTCTATGGCACAATTAGAAAGCGCATTGAACAGAATCATTCAGGCCACCTATTAGATCATTGTAGCACCGACGTTTCTGAGCAATGATTGGAAATTCACAAAAAGGTCAAAACAGCCGAATTTCCATTCATGCCTTGCATCTGCATCCAACCTGGTCAACCCCCTCTGGGGTATACAATTGTCAATATCATAAGTTAGCAAACTATATATAAAGGATGAATTATAGTATCTATAGCACCAGCTGCTGAATCAATCGCGTCAAACGACCGCTTCACTATGACTAGGCCCCCCTGGCCCGGATGTCGATGACGAAATCCAATGGCAACTTGGTCGGCAAGAACAAATATCGGGTGGAGGAAATGCCAGTGTTTAAATGACCACCAAGTCTCTGAGGAAAAACAACCCAAACCTATCAAAACCTTTGATGATGTGGGACCTAGTGTGAAGTTTTCAGAGTCAAGGCCTGCTAGGTCTAGCTGCTAGGCCTTAAGTCCTGGGTGACCATTTCTGAACAACGAATATCGTAAATCTGTGAAGTCCTGTTGGCTTTCTTTCGCTCACGCTCACGCACGCCGGCCGCATCCGGCTCCCGGCTCGTGGTCCCAGCCCATAAGCAGCACCTGCAGTCAACTACACCAGCGATGTCCCATGAGGGGGCCCTTTGAGATCTTTGAGACGGTTTGGCAGTTTTTCCACCAGCAGCTCAAAGGATATCAAATTCTTCATGCTTTGCCGGCTCTGCCCATCCCCATAGGTTGGAGGACCACACTCTCGCGGCCACCAAGCTCAGCTGCTGACATGCCGACTCGAACTTGTGTCGGTGCAAATGCACCAGGAAGCGTACACTGTCGACTACCTCGAGGATAAGCAGCTGGAGCGACAATGATGTTTAGAACAGTTCAATGAATACTAACTTATGAATTTGTTATATTATGAACTTGTTTATGCAATGAGAAAAGTGTCAATGGGTTGGGGCTTGTTGTTTGGAACACATTAGCTTCCTTACTGGACACAAAACTTTTGGGATGCTACATTGGCACTCTAATAGACTCTAATCTTCCAGCTGCACCGGCTTCAATCCAACAATGTTGACAGTTGTTATAGTAAACAAAGGTGGCTACATCTGCGATGAATAACTTCGCATCCACCAATAACGTGCTGAACAAGATGCTTCAGTACAACAAACATTGTCCAAGAAGAGTGTCTTTGGTCCAACAGTGAAACGGCCAGCAGCAAACATGAGTGAACGTAACATTCACAAATTCTTGTTCATGGCCGGTGGCTTTTGTTAGTCCCCTTATTGACTGGTCATGATTCCTTGGAGATCGTCGAAACACTCAATCTAGGAGATCGTCGACAGCTCCGGACCCCGGGAATGTGCATGTCATCTCTTAAACCATCCAGGTTATCAATCGATATATCAAACCAGTCTCTTGAAAACAAGTCTCTTGATATCAATCCAGGTGATCGCCAGGTGTCGCACGAAGAAAACCATGCCCAAGGCACGCCCTTGCTCTGCAAGCAATCCTTGAGCGCAGCGACCTGCACAGGGTAGTCGGCGACCATGGATTGACTCGTGTCTCCACATACCCCGTGGTAATGTCAAGCTAGGATCAATCAGCCACACATACTCCGAGGCTGGCAGAAATTAAAAAAAGACACGTCATTCTTCATTCGCCTGTTCGGCAAGAACATCCCAGAGCCACATTTTGCCTGCTCCTTGCAGCTCTCCACATCTTGACGCAGGGCGGCGATCAAGCCCTGGCAACAGCAGTTGTACGGTGGCCAGGGTTCCTCGCAAATACAGCACACCAATTCAACAAGACACCTCCGATCCTCCAATGCTGCAGAAATCTTGTTGTACCTTGTGGGTGTGGCTGGACAGTTGCCACGCATATACAAGTGGAATGTGATGTCCAAAAAGCGTTGACCAGAAACACCCGTCGGCAGGATGTTGCGGTGTCAGTTCTTTCCTTCCTCGCCTGCTGGTGGATCATCTCATGGCTGAGGTGATGGAGCCTCTCCTGGAACCCCACAGATGCCCACGACTGTTCTGGAGCATTAGTAACAAGTGCCATGCTAGTAGTAGCAAGTGCCTTACTAGCAGTAACAAGTGCCTTACTAGTAGTAACAAGAAGCTATAAACATATTTCATCACTCATGCACTCACCTAGTATTCGGCGATCACATGGGCTGCTCGAATTTGTCTCCAAGTTTCGGCGTCACGACACGTCGATGGCTACCAGGCCCGGTATACATAATGTTCCGAGAGTGTGACGGTATTGCCGGTGCTTGCTAATGTACCCGAAATCACCACTCAGAAACTAGTAACTTGTTTCCTGTTCTGCATGTGCCAACACCATGTGTATGTGGGACGTCTGGTTGCCATACGAGAAGGTTGTCTCATTCAAGACTGAACAACTGCCATCAGCTGCCGCTTCCGATCCTCTGTGTTGTCCATGGCGACCTCCATGGGAACAGCTCAAATGCTTCACCTCCCTCAGCCCCGCGTCTCACGGAATTCTTCAACCTGGCTCAGCCTGCAGCTTGTGGTCGTGAGGCTTGTCTGCCATCCCCCAAACAAATACGCTCTATATTATGATATTTTTGACTTGCCAATCTGCCAATCTTGATACTTCCTAGCCCATGTTGGCAGCACTTGTGGCTACTTGCCTCGCTCCCGAGAAAGGATCAGTTCCCTTGTTTTACTTGACACAAGAGCATTCCAGTCCAAGTTGTGCATGTCAAGGGGCTCATGTGCAAAGTAAGACGGTACAGTAACTCTCATATTGTACAGTCCTATCCAAAGTAGGTGCTGGATATACTATTGCTGCAAAATGGCTGCATGAATGAAGGTTTCTTCCAACATAATCATTGCAACACTGCGATGCTTCCTTGAATTAACATCCCGAACGAACTAAATTGAGGAAATATACATCCGAATCCATACCCAGGATTTTCGCTACCTGTAGTTGTGAGTTCAAAATGAGGCAGCCTTGGGATGTCTCCCAAAGTTCACAAAGGCTGGGCCAAGAAATGTGAACAAAAATATAGTCACAGTCATCATAAATCACGGCCAAACAACACCTTGAGAAACTGTATGGTGCGTGACTTTCAATATCAATTATATACTTCCGCAAGGAACGACGGATCTCCTTGCAGCCGCCCGTCGTCAGCTCTGTTTTGCTTCTAATGACCTCGTCGTCGTCTCGGGCACACCGAGCAATCCTATGTCAAGCAGCGGGGACAAGCCATGGACTTGGTGTCTATCATCTTGATCTTTCGTACCAACAGGGATCGAGATCGTATACCAAAACAATTGTTGGGGAATGCAACACCTCACCTGACCCAAAGTGCGTTCAATATTCAAGTCCAGGAGATCTTTGTTTGCTTTAAAGAAGTGCGCAATAGCCGCGGTGAATGATGAATGCCAATGGACTGAACTCTTGCCAACCATGCCATGCAAGTGCGTGTCTGGACATATCGATTCTGAACACACGGTTGAGTACAAACCAGACTTACATTACGCATGTCTCCAAAATCTACCCAACATTCAACAGCAATCGACCCTTGTTTTCTTAGTAATGGCCGAACCAGTTCCTCCTCTGAGCTTGGATGGCTTCCATCCCCAGCCTCATTCGGCTTGCCGACTTAGCTTCGTTACAAACGTCTCCCCTGGCCACTTTGGACCACTTTTGGAGCTCCGTGGGGTTGCTCCAGCGGAGAGTTCACATGTGGGCAACTTGCCCTCACTGGTCATCAAATTACATTGTACTAGTAGCCGCTATAGCCAGTCTACTAGCCTTTTGATGTCTTTTGATAATCCCTTATCAGATCTGGGATCATCCGCTCTCCCCGGTGGTGCACCCACTCACACTCTTTGGTATGATGGATTGATGGTTCGGTGCCCTGAGCAAGCCTCAATGCTGGCACCGAAGATTCGTTAACTCCCATCTCCAAGTGCCATTGTAAGGATGAATAACAAATAGACATTTAAATGTAAGTGTTCACTTTTAACTCACAATAGTATACAATAAGTATATTACACATTGTGCTGATCAAATTGTCTGTACAAAAAAACAATCAACGGCCATTCAGATCATATAAATTCTCTAGTCATTCAAATTATGTTATATATACCGCCGGACTGAAAGTTAACAAGAATCTACTAGGGGCTCCTGGCATCCCTACTAGGAGCGATCGGACGCTACGTTCAGGGCTCCTGGCCTTACTACTAGGAACAAGAAGCTACTAGTAACAAGTGCATCGCTACTAGTAGCAAGAGTGTCTGCTGCATGTACCTAGAAGCTAGTAGAAACAAGTGCCACGCTACTAGGAACAGGTGCCTTACTAGTAGTAACAATGTTTGCTATTAGAGACAAGTGCATCGCTACTACCTTTTAGTGTTTTGCCTTTCGGAGTTCATCTTGGCACTTGCAGACTGCGACGGGTTATCGCACTCGCGGGCAACATTGGCCCGGTGCAAAAACATGGCGCAAGTCCACAGTGATTCTCCGGTTGAAGCAACTCTAAGCTTCGCTTTGAGCTACTCTCGCGCAATTTTCACCGCTACTCTCCGCAATTTCACGTAGTTCTACGCCTCTCGAAGACCCCAACAACACACTAAGTCTGTGCATCTGCCCTGCAGCTCTTTCTGGGCGCCTCTTGAGCTGCTCAGTCCCACCCCGGGCTGCATGAACGCGGTCGTGGCAACTGGCCAAGAAGCTGAGTCTTCCGGTCGGATAGAATGAAAACATTGTCCAAATGAGCATCTTTTCTGATGACTTGGTCTTTTCATCGATGTTGAAGCACCAAGAACAAACGACACAGAAACAAAAACTGACATGAGGCGCCGTCAAAACTTCTTGTCTAAGGCCAGTAGCAAAAGTTGAGGGTATCGCTTTTTGGTGGGACCCATATCGCTTTACATAGTTCGGCGCCAAAAACAGAAATTCAACAACAAGTGCTGGACCTTTATGTATGAAAGCACAATGTGGTTGATGTCAACTTCCAGCAGTCAAACAAGGCCGTGCATGCTTTTTCTTCGCGACACTCGAAAGTTTGCAGCTTCACCGTCTTCCTCTGAACTGGTGGTGCTGGTGCTGCTGGAGCTACTGGAGCTGGAAGCTTCAGCTTCGCCACCTGCTCGGTTGTCTCGTCTTTGTTTTTGTTGACGACGCCGTTCTAGGAAAATTTCCTTTTTCTTGGCTAACTCTTCTGGAGTCAAAGGCGCCCGATGGCGCAGCAGCCACGTATTACCCAGCAAGTGTTGCTGAGCACCTTGCCGCTTTGTGAGCGCAGTTTCCTGGTGTCGGTCTAAAAGCAATGGATTGGCATTCCAACTGCTCTCACCGCTTCCGTAGAAGCCTCGCCGCCAATCACCTGGAGCTTCCCTATCCTCTTCCCAGAGCTGGCTGGTCAAATCTGTGCCGGCATGTTGCGCACTGAACACGTAGTTCGTGACTTTGTCACCCAGGCGCCAAATCTTAGCATTTGCAAGCTGGGAGCCAATGCAATAGGTTCGAGTGATGTGTAGGTCTGTCGCCAATAAACGTTTTCCAGGTGCTGGCTTTGCAGATTCATCGTGGATAACGATGCCTTTTGCAGTGGGATCAGCAGATCTTTGCTTGGCTGACTGCTCTTTGACCAGCTGCACAAGCTCCTGAAGTGAATGAATAGAGGCCCCATTGCGTTGGATCCGTCACGACATGGGCCAGGTATCTATCCAAAGCGTCTCTTTCAGCTTGACTTCTGGGCATGGCAGCAAGTGTAGCGAAATCAGCGTTGAGATGGTTAACAACTTCCTTCTTTGTGGGTCTCTGTCTTGGAAGGGCTACTTCTGCAACAAATGGGTATCGCTAGGTTATCGCTAGGGGTATCGCTAATTATCTTGTATATTGCAAAAAATAAGCTACCAAGAAAACTACACTGAAAGACAGCAGCTGCTGCCTGCTTGAGTTGAGCTACAGTTGTCAAACCTGATGATTTTGCTTGCTCTTGCAGCCGCTCGATCTCACATCTGCTGGCTCGAGAGACAAGACGTGCCACTCGTCGCTTCCCATCATGAAGGCTAAGCACCCATGTACCGGAAAAGGTGCCCCCACGAATACGGGATTCTTCCCAAATCTCAAACTGCGCCATCCTATCTTTGCGCTTCTGAGCCTAGTAACAAATGGCTGCACACAGCACTCAAGATTGCACCTTTGCGTAAGTCGAATCCAAAATCATGAATGTTGTAGGTATCGCTATTTGGTGGAACCCATATCGCTTTGCAGGGTTTTGGCAGCGTTTCATCCACATATCCTTACAAAAACGACCCCTGCTTGCTAAATTGATCTACGTAAGTTTTGACCGTAGCTCACATGTTTAATATATAGTATTTGTCTCCTCTCAGTCTCGGCGGCTCAATGCACTTCGGTCTTCAACAAGTAACAGCCTAACAAGCAACCGGCCCAGCCACGTATGCGACCCGGCATCACGGTTATGGAATATTCACATACCCGCACGCCTCAGCCAGGGACCGGCGCACCGCTGGCGCCTTGCGAAGAAAGTCAAGGCAGGTCAAGGCCAATCAAACATGAGAAATCTTCAAGTTGACTGCTCGACTTCCCGACAGTGCATAAATACCAAAGGGGTGGGTAGGGTGGATAATATTGTTCCATGGTTGATGCGTGCCTGCTGCAAAATGTGCAGGCGGGCCAAAGGATCTGCATATTGTGTAAATAACGTTCAAAGCACTGGCAGAGTTGAAGGGGGTCAGGCGAGACACTCATTGTTTAAGGGACATTCCAATAATATAATTGGTGACCCATGAAGAGGCTCTCTGTTTATCTCGCCTATGGAAGGGAGGTTGCAAACAAACGTCTAAGCGGCTCATGTGCATATCGCAAAAAGTACATCAGCGTCACCCCGGCTCATTGGTAACGTTGCAAATAATTACAATGCCTCTCCCAAGATCAAGATTTCTTCAAGTAGTCATCAGTAGGCCAATGCAAGAAATCGAAATATTGTACAACGGAACGATAAAGGATACAAGTGCACACATAATAGCGATGGCCTCCAACCTAATAGACATGGCCTCCACCCTGATAGCAATGGCCTCCAACCTAATGGCCATGGCCCCCAACCTCATATAATATAGCGATGGCCTCCAACCCAATAGCGATGGCCTCTAACCTAAGTCCAGGGCCTCCAACCTAAAAACGATAGCCTCCAAGAACCTATGTAGTATCAAAGGCCTCCAACCTAACAGCGATGGCCCCTAACCTACTAGCGAAGGCCTCCGGCCTCCAACCTAATAACGCTGGCCTCCAACCTAATAGCAATGGCTTCCAACCTAATAGCGATGGCCTTCAACCTACTAGCGATGGCCTTAAACCTACTAGCGATGGCCTCCAACATAATTGCGATGGCTTCCAACCTATAATAGCCATGGCCTCCAACCTATTAGCTATGGCCTCCAACCTAATAGCG